TAGCATGAAAAGTCAAACAAGAGAGACAAGAGTGGTTGGAGGGAGGAATATGTTGGGGAAAAAATGACAATTACACATGGAGATTAGGACAGCTAATAAGTGAGAGGAGGTGTGATTAAACTCAGGGATGAAAACTGGAGAGATGCAAATATAGGCAAATATGCAGGTTCAGCAGATGGCAGCTGTGGGGCAGAAATAAGGGTACTGCATTAAGTGTAGACTTGTTTCAGAAGACAAAAGCTCACTCGCCGAACATACAAAGAGACACACAGGTCGATTTTAAAGTACCACAAATGATAATCGAAGTTAGGTCTTGTATATACTATGTGGTAAATCAGATGTGGACACGCAGTATATAAGCTAACCTAACCCTAACCAGAGACAAACAAGACAAACAACCACTCACAAGCTCACCCTAACCTAAAGGCAATTAAGAATTACCAGTTAACATAGCATGCATGTTTTTGGTTTGTGGGAGGAAACAGGCGTACCTAGAAAAAAWTGCACAAGTGCAAAGGAAAACATGAAAAACTCCACCCAGAAAGGCCCCAGGTCAGGAGGCGATCCTGCAACCCTCTCACTGAAAAGCCACCAATCTWACCACTGTGCTACCATGCTGCCCTTTCACATTAGTTTGTGCTCAACATTTAAAAATTTAACTAATAAGAGACATTTTTGTGTTGGCTAACAAATTAACTGTAGCAACCATCTTAAATTAGGTGGGCTCCAAAAGGTAAATGGTTGTAGGTACATCGTGTGATTATTTCTTCAAAGGTTCACTGAGAAATAACAAGTAATTCATAAGATAGTTTGCAAGTGATTAAATTTTACACAAAGATCTCACCGTTTGGCATCAGTCTCCACTACAACCACATGAAATACAGTATTAGGTCAATAACTGTGAAATTGTCTGAGTAAAACCATTTTGTGTTTATTATGGTTATATAGCTAATGCATATTCAAAGATTATTGTACTTTCGGCAAGTTTTATTATAATTCATCCAGTGTTTGATAAGATATTTTGCTGGTAGCCACACAAACATGAGTTCACAACACATGCAAAAAAAAAAAAATCTCTGTAGCTGAAAGGCAAAGGTGAAGAAATAAAGGTGGTGGCTGACACTAATAGATATTTTTTACTTGATAAAATTAACTGTTTTCAGAGGTGAAGTGTCTGCTTCTGTTACCGGAGTGAATAAACAAGTTGGTCATTATCACTGAGAGGCTTATTACATAAAACTAGTGACAGGATCAACTTGTGGTAGCAACTGATAGCTAATCCTGAGTGGGTAGCACCAACAGTCAGAACACTGACATTTAGCTAAAATCATATGCAGTTGCAAAGCAGWTGAAAATAATTACACCCACCGTGTCTGTCTGTATATAAGAAAAATWACTAAATACATGAATTTAATAATATACCAAGTAGCCTCTTGTTCCTTGACTGATAAAAAAAATCCCAATATTAATACTGTTTAGTAC